TTCCAAAACCTATTTCTGGAAACAGGGAGAAATATAATTCCCTCAACATAGTCCATGAATTTAGCAGAGAAGCTCATTTGACAGCCATCACTAACTGACAGTCTGAAGTACAGAATCTGAACACAAAACTTAGATTTTTGTACTTAGCACAGAAAGTACTTAATGAATTAAAATTAAATGGTTACTCTGAACTAAAATGATTCGTTTTCCAGAGCCAGTGGTTCCCCAGCACCTCCTGCACAGTTTTGCTCCACGTGTCCCATCCACACTGACTTTTCCAGCTGTCTGGGAGTGAAAGGAAAAGAAATCATCCCATATGCTGCTGCCCATTAAATAAATGGCCAGTCTTTTGAGTCCTAAAAGGGGATTTTTAACAAACAAAAAGAAAAACAAGGCCAACACAGCTTAGACAACAATAGCAACAAATCTCGGTCAAAGGCAAGTGACCCTCGAGCTGCTCTGGGCATATGGAGGTCTCAGTCCTTTTCAGAAAAAACCTTCCTCTGCTTCCCATTAGCCTTTGGCTGACTTACTGGGAGGAAACTCTCCTGGTTTGGCCCCTCAGCTGCTTCCTTCTGCAGAAGCAGAGCTCTGGGACTCCTCACCCACCACCCCAACGTGCCCACGTGTTCCCTGGGCACTCCCAGGATCCTGATGCAGGGAACCAACCCAAGTGCTCAGCTCCTTTTCCATCAGCAAACATGGATCCTGACAGGACAAGGGATTCAATCTCCCTGCCCTGAGGTCACCCACAGACACACTTCTAATGGCTTCTTCACTACCTGCTCCAGTCACCTCATGCTTGGTTCTGCCTGCAGGCTAGAGGCAGAAAGGAAGGCAAAAGGAGTAAGAATAAATTATTAATTAATCAACAGAAGAGGCATTTTGGTTTTACTGAAGATAAGTGACTCCCTTGCCATGGCAATACATCCTAAAGATCCTGGAAAACCCACTTGGAGTCCAAGCACGTGCCTGGCATTCCCAGGTTGGACAAAGGGGCTCAAGTTGTCAATCAGTTTTAGAACCTGCTCTTCAAGAAGCTACCAAAAGAAATCACTGGGACCAAGAAGTCCTACCAAGCAGCTTAAAACTTTACTACAAGCACTTCTCAAAGTCTTTCTAATTTAGCTCAGACACTGAAAATAAACCCTCTTGGATTAAGGAAAGGGTTTCCCCTCTCACAGAAGGTATTTCTCCTATAAGCATTCAAGCTACTTTCCACCACAGGATGGAGTAGTTTGGTTTCAGTATTTAAAACATAGTTGCTAATTTTAAACAGATTTTAAAGAAGTTCTCCAGCATTTCTAGGAATGTCCATGTTTAAGATGGGTTTTTGGCCAGACTGTACAATTCCCACCAGCCCATTTCTGCTGCTCATTTCCATTTTCCTGGAAGCACCTCCTCCAGGATGCTTACAACTCAACTACAAGAATCTGATCAAGGTTGAGTCATGGCATGCAAGCTTCCAGCCCAGTAGCAACCCTTATTTATTATATTTGGGATCAAAACTTCCAAACTGAATGTATTTTCCTTTTGGACTCCTGAGCTACAAACTAAACACAATGTACTTTGTATTTTCCTCATAAGCCTCTTTGAAATGAGCTCCAAAGAGAATTGAACCAACCAACAAGAGCTCCTGAATGTGAGACCTGAGCAGAGCAAATGAAACAAGCGCTGCAGCACCCTGAACATCACTTGGTGTTTGCACGTTTCTGCTCCTTGAGAAATGGATTTAGGCAGGTCAGATTTTGAGAAGGTCTTGGAGAGACAGAATCAGCCTTCCCACCCTTCAGCTCCTGGTGTAACACAGGCCCCGAACGTGCCAGAGGAATCCTCCCTCCCAATCAAACACTCCCCCTCTGCTGCTGGTGAAAGGCAACGAGATCTCTCTTTGCAACCCTCGTCTTGGCCAATAAATTTTGCATGAAAACATGTCAGCCCAGCCCAGAATTCCTGCTGGCAGGCTGGGAGGGTGATGAATGTTTAATGCAAACACCACCCCCAGCTCGGTGTCAGACAGGAGCTCCCGCACGGCCCCTTTGATCCCAGCACAGCTCCCCAGCAGCTCTGGGTGCTCTGTCCCACACAACTCCATCACCTATATGCAAATCAGGGCCAATTACCATAAATGACTTCCTACTGCACCGGCTGGCAAGAAGGAAGGGAAAAATAATCACGTGCCAAGCTCCAGGAGAGTCTGACTCAGGAAAGTCCAACATTCCCGCTTTACTCCTGATGTTTTCTCCAAACAGCAAAAATCTCATCCACAGGCATCAGTCACCCACGTGCCATCCATGGGGCACTGGGCATGGACCCAACTCCAAGGGATTTGGGGGAATGCCACTGCAAAAGGGTCCCCAGACAGGGGGACCTCAGTGAAAGCTCAAAGTCCTGAAGTGAGGAACTGAAAGGAAAAATGGAGATGGTGTTTGAACAATGAGCTCCTCAGCTCTGCACTACTGACAGGACACAGGGAATGGCATTTGGGGAAGGAATTGTTTGCTGGGAGAGTGGGAAGGGACTGGCACAGGGTGCCCAGAGCAGCTGTGGCTGCCCCTGGATCCCTGGCAGTGCCCAAGGCCACCTGGAGCAATCTGGTCCATGGAAGTGGCCCCGCCATGGCAGAAGTTGGAACGAGATGGGATTTGAGCTCTGTCCAGCCCAAACCATTCCAGGATTCTGGGATCTGTCAAAGTATTTAGGAAGCTGTGAAGCCACTAACGCCCAAATGTATCAATAACCTTATTAAGGATCAGCAATTAAACCACTGGTCAGGTTGATAAATGGTTCACCACTTCTTTTCTCTTAACAACTGAGGAGCTGCTCTTAATTTATTCCATTAAAAATTGTCAAAATCACCTGGAGAAGTAACCCCAAATTCCACTGGTACACAAGCAACGATGAGACCCATAAATCTAGGAAAAGTTATTTAAAACTAACAAGCTTTTAGTAGCTTTCCCCCCAGTTTAACAATGAACAAGGAGCCTTATGAAAAACACATTTCAGAACAACAGAATTTGCATGTTTTGAAGCTGATCGAGACTTGAAACATCAAAATTCAACAGCACACCCAGCCAGGTCAATGAAGACATGCATGCAGGTTGTTTTAAAACAAGCAAATTTCAAAAAGCATAAATAAAAGATGAATGTAATGCTTTGATTAGTACAAAAAATAGTGGGAAAACATTGTAGTACTGCAAAACCCTCACTTCTGCAGACTTGGACAGCTGAAGGCTTCCTGCATGTAGATGTTGTTGGTCTAAACGTGGGATTTGGGGGTGGAGGGAACTCCCTGGAGCTCCCAGCCCACATTCCCAGCAGCTGCTGCAGGATTTCCCTCCATAATGGCTGGCCAAGTGGAACAACCCTTAAACATTTCAGGGTGTAAGAGGAGAAGAGCAGAGATGTTCCACAGCCCATCTCATGGACTGCTGGTGCTTCTCCAGCACTTCAGAAATTCAGTGTTCAGTGTTAGAGAATCAGCACTGAAACTGGGAATGCCAAAGCACAATGCCCAGAATACCCTTTTTTAAAATAATTTCTTTTTTTTTTTTTACTTTTGAAATTTCTCTTGAGACGTTTACTGTGAAAGAATCTAAAGCTGCCCCAAAAATACCCCAAGCACAGACCCATCACATCTACAAACACAGCCAAGCCAAGGACAGAAAATCATCATTAGGGTTCACAGGAGCCACAAATTTGCTGCTTAATTAGTGGGAAAAAATGCATTTTGATTCTGTGCTTTAGAGGAGCAGTAAAGCCCCAAATATACAACATCTCTCAGATAAGCTGCAGTGCTGCCAAGCTGAAATACCTCCTTTTATGCAAAGTTAAACTATAAAGTCAAGCAGCACCTGAGAATTTATGTCCCTTCTTCCCACAATCTGGCTTCAGGCTGATCTTCATTACAGCTCCAAAGCAGCTATTTTGAATAAATACATTGCAAACAGCCATGAATTTAAACTGGGAACCAGACCTGGTGGTCCTTGAGGTGCCTTTGAGGAAGGATCTGCTCAAATACTGAGGCCACAGGATTGGTCCCACTACAGATTCCCTGGTGCTGGAGGTTCTGGAAGGGCTCTGTAGAATAATGAGACTTTCCAGACTCCAGGTCTAGAAATTAATCTGCTTGGAGAGTCCAGACTGGATCCAACTTAACCAGGAATTCTCCTGCTGCTGCAGGGAACAAAGGGAAAATTCCAGAGGCCAACAGAATCCCACGTGTGGGTGAAGATGCTGCTCTAGAAATTCTCCAGGAGCATTTTTCAGTGGGAATCCACCCAAGGGAAGGTCAAGAAGTGACACCTCAGCGGGGTTTTTTTGGGAAAAGATCAGACAAACAGCCCAGGAAAGGCTGCACAGGAGCATGATGTATAAAGCAGAGGGAATTACATAAATGTAAAAAATTACCTTGTCTTTCCTGCAATCTGTCATCAACAACCCAAGTCATTCCAAGCAGAAACTGGACTGACAGCAGGTTCTCAAGGGTTCCCATGGTTAACCCAGAGCAAGGCTTGTGCTGGAACTGCATTTCTGAGCCTCAAGCAAAGCCCAGCAGGAACTCCTGCCACTGGGAGGAGGTGTAGGTGTGTGTGAACAGTGAAACCCATCTTCTCCTAGGAAGAAGCCCTCATGCTTTCCAATATTCCTCATTTTCCCCCTAAATTATGGCTATTACATATGGGAAGAATGTTAATATTAAAAAAGTGCAGAAAGCTCTTTAACTCACCTGAAACCAAGCAGGGAGGGAAAGGGTAGAAAATTAAACCATCACTTAGTGCAAAACACTGCCACGTCGCAGAACAATAAAACCTTACAAACCCCACCCTCCAAATGGTCTGAATAACAGCCCACCCTTCAAATATTCTGAATTCACATAAAGTTAGTTTATAGAAAATACAATTCAAGGTAAAGTAAAATCATTATTATTTTACAGGAGCAGAAGTACCCGCGCTGCTGCCCGGTTGTGCTCCAGCTGCATCATCTGCCATTTCACTCACCCAGCCTTGGTGCCGTGGCTCTCCTTGTCCTTCCCTTTGCCCTTGTCCTTGTCCTTGGCCCTGTCCCTGGCCCTGCGGCGCTCCCGGGAGCCGCTGGGGGTTCTCCTGTGGCCGGACCTCTCGCTGCTGCGGCTGTACGAGCGCTGGCGCGACCTGCGGAACCAGAGCCAGCGTCGGGCACGCGCCACGCCGCCTCTGCCTTCCCTGCTGCAGGACTGCAGGGCTGCAGATGGCATGCCATGCCCACACCCAGGTGGGCATCATTTCTCATCTACAGCACGAGCTGTGAGTTCTGCAGTGTCACTCTTAGGTCAGCTGTGACACACACACACGTGACATACACACACACGATCAGGGTTTTTATTCTGCGTGTTCTCCAGCTTATACACTCTTAACAAAGCGTGCTCTTAAGTCATTCACTACATCAAGTTGTCATTCAATTTTAGAACCTGTTAACTTATTATATTCATTATATATGTTCAATAACTTATTCCATTCATTGGTGCAAAGCAATTAGCGTCAATTAGCAAAAGTTTTACAGAAATTTAGTAGGGTATGTATACACATCTACTAGCTACATAGTCTAGCTCACAAAAATTTTCATGCATCTTTTCTAATCTGTTCCCATGCTACAGTCTTGTTCTTCTTCCTTGCTATGGATACACTCCAAAATCATCAGTTGTTATTTCTTCTATTAACTCAACCTTGCTTACAAGCCTCTCCATACTTCAGCATTCTACTAACGTGCTACAAAATGGCTATCTTACTATACCTTTAAGGCTAAATAATCCAATTAAGAAATGACACCTAAATTATTTTCATTTTTACCCAATAACTGACCACTCAAAGTCCACAATGTGTCCACTTTTCTATCCAATTACAAAATACCACTCAAACCCATAAAGGAGCACCAGCCTCCACCCTAAAGCCTCCATCTTGCTTTGTATGTATCACTAAATTCTAAAAGCTCAAACTCTCAGTTCCCCACCCTGTGATATGACACACATCTAATCTAACTCCACACCCATAATCCCAATATTATAATTCCATTTTGGAAGGTTCTCCATGGCCCCAGGCCAATGCAGCACTCTCTTTCCAAACTCTCAGTTCCCCAGCCTGTGATATGACACACATCTAATCTAACTCCACACCCATAATCCCAATATTATAATTCCATTTTGGAAGCTTCTCCATGGCCCCAGGCCAATGCAGCACTCTCTTGGGGATCAGTGCCTGTCAGCACAGAAAATCTGAAATTCTCAGCAGCCAGGCTTCCAACACTCCAAGATCGAGTTCAACCCAGCCCTAACACCCCAACTAAACCTGGCAGTGAGTGTCACACCCAGTCATCCAGGGATGGTGACTCTGATGCCTTCAGAGGCCACCTGGAGCAGAGGCTGGGAATGATAAAGGAATAAAGTAGGGATTTATTAAAAGGCCTTTACAGGACACACCTCGGGCAGTGCAAGAGCCCAGCCAAGGCTCTGCCCAAGATGAGCCACAAGTGAGAACACTTTTATAAGTTTTGGTCCCTTTCCATATTGGGGTTCACTGTCCAATTCCAGCCCCAGGTTCTGCAGTCCCACCCTCCTCAGCCTTCTCATAGTTATATTTTATTATTTCATTTCAGTACATTTAACAAATACATCTAATAATGTAGCACATGTCACAATTTAATACCTTTAAACTGACAATTTAGCAAAAGAAGTGAAAAAGACAACATGGCTCCTGCTCTGAAAAGAGATGCAAAATAAACCACACAACTGATTAATCCATTAACAAAATGGAAAAAAAGATCCAGAAGTATTAGGGCTGTTTCTTTGTGTGTCCAAAATTATTTCATTACTCCTGAATTTCCTGTATATTTTCTAAGCTTTATTTAATAGTTTATCATGTATCAATGCTACCTGAGTGGACAAGGGATATTTAGGAAAAACCAGGTCAAGTTTTCCTTGGTCTCTCTTGCCTGAGCACCTTGGCCTTTGGAATGTGTCCCCATCCAGGGCAGGGGATGGAATGAGATGGGCTTTAAGGTCCCTCCCTACCCAAACCATCCCATGAATCTACAATTCCATGATTCCCATCAAAATTCCGATGGCACCTCATGGAAAAGTTCCATTAAGTACTGAGGGAAATGGGGAAATTTGAAAAACAGCATTAAAAGTTTCTTTAGCACCTCCTGGGGTGCAAAACCCCCAAGGCCTTTAAAAGCCAAATCACACAGACAAAATCCCTCCTTTTATGAAACAACAACTGCTTAATAAAACCCAACAATAGACTAAGCAAAAGAAAATCCTCCCTCCAGATGAGGCTATAAATTACATTTCTGGAATTTGTCCAGCACATGGGAGTTCAGGTCCCCATTCCTGCCAGGAGCAGCTCCAGAGGTCAGGGCTGGGTTCCTGTTTCAGCAGCTGGTACCTTCCAACAGCAGCTCTCCCATCCTGGTCACTCTATTAACACTAATAAATAGATCAAATTACCACTGCACTGCTGGATTCTTAACTGGAGAGCATTTGCTGGCTCAAAATGGATTTTTAGTGTGTCATCACAAATGTAAAAGCATCCATCCATCTTTACTCCTCAGGTGGAAGAAGTTTTGATTTGAAAGAGCATTCTGGATATTAAATCTATTTTTTGTTTGGCACAGAAACACTGTTTTTACAAACACCATGATGAGGGAGCACAGATTTACAGAGCACTGCCCTAAATCCACTATTCCCAGGTAACCCTGGCTTCTCAGAACTCTGCAGGTAAGTCCAGAACAGAAAATAAACCCCAAACAACAAAACAAGCAAAGCCCTGTAGCAACACAAATCACCCTTAACTGATGCAGGGCCTCTCCTCACTGAATGGCACAGTCCTCCCACCAGGAACAACAGGAATCTAAAATATTTATTGCTAAAGAACTCCAGTTCATCAGCTCAAATCTGAACTGGAGTTCAGTCCCACCTTTTGCAGGTGCAAAAAACAAACTCAGCTCAGGCAGGCTGGATGCTCAGTAACTGAATTTCTGCTCATTCCCATGTCTGTGCAGAATGGGTGGCAGGTGACATTTATATACAGGAAACAGCTTTTAAAAATTAAAGGAGTTATTGCATCAAATTTCCCCATCCCTGGCAGCGTCCAAGGCAGGGACTGGAGCTCCCTGGGACAGTGGAAGGTGTCCCTGCCATGGCACTGAGCCCCCAGTGTCCCACCACCCTCACAGGGATGAATTCCTTCCCAATATCCCATCTACACCTCCCCTCCACCAGCTTCAGGCCATTCCCACTTGTCCCATCACTCCATGGCCTTGGGAAGAGCCTCTCTGTACTCTTCCTTAATTCCTATTAAAGTATCTTGCAAGATCTACAGGACAGGAAATCAAGATAAAACTTCCCGAAATGGAGCTCCCAAAAGTCATCTGCGTCCCCAGCTCATCACCAAACCACAACAAAAGTCCACAGATCTGGCAGAGAAGACAGATTTTCTATTTTATCTGCTGTTGAAAAATAACAAGAATCACAATTAGTCCTATTAAAGCAAGACCCCAAATGTTCAAATTATGGAACTACCAGAGGGGGGGGAAAAAAACCAACCAAGAAATGAAGCTGTAGAGGAGATTTCCAGCATGGATGCCCTTCCCCCCCATGACACCCAAAACACCCACCCACCATGCCAAAGGTTAAGTCATTTAGTCAAGTTCAAAGATCTTCAAAGGCTTCTTAGATCCAGATAAGCCCATATGTTCCCAAAATTCTGTGAAAAGCCATTACTTTCCAATCTGCTTTTCATGTCTAAGTTGCAGAACACACAGATGCTTGGCATCACTCGGGATCCCTAAATTCTCACACCAGATAATCAAGGCTCACCAATAACTTCCCTATCTCCAACCCTAAGAAATGGCTTTATTCCATCAGCACTCGGGCCGCTTGTAAAAATTGAAAGTCTCCATAAAAGCCCATTCAGTTACTGCACAATAAGTGTTAATTTGCTAATTTCTTCACAGGTAATCAATTAAAATGTAAAATATTGGATAAAATTAGTTGCACTAAATTTAACAGCTGCTCCATAAGCATAATTAGTTTCACAAGGGCCATATGTATCCTGAGCAGAGACTGAGTTGAAACAAATAAGCGGATTTTAAAACAAGTTTGAGGAAATCTGCATTTAATTAGCAGGTGGGCACTACAACTGCATAATGTTTTTATACATTTATATTTATGAAGTGACAGAAGATCTAAAGGCTTTTTAAAATGGCGTTTATTGTTTGAATGGGAACTGTTTTGCTGCATGCTAAAGTGATTTAAATCCTTATAGCCCCGCTTTGAAAAAATCATAAATGGTGAAAGAAAACATGTGGAAAACTGTAAAACTAGAAAGAATTTGCGACAAAAAGCAGAGCCACATACCATAACCAAAAGGAAACTACACTTAATTAAATGTACACTACATCTGGAATATCAGCCTAATAAAACGTGCAACTATTAATTCTCATTGTTCTAAAGGAAATGAGGTCAGTGGCGTTTAGTATTTCCCCAATTATATTGCACTAAAGCACTGAACTCTATCTTAGAGGTCCAATCTAATCTCTTCAAAAGGTTACAACTGCAAAAGGGAGACTTTTTTAAATGGAAAGAGGAATTAGAGCCCAAAGCCAAGACAGGGTTTGTTTTCTTCTCTTTGAGCTCTTCCAGGAAAGACCAATTTTTGCAAAAATAATCTGTTTTCTTGGCAAACAGCACCCCCCACTCCACAGAACGGTGCTGAGATGTCAACTTCTCCCCTGGAATTCTTCTCAGCATCTCTCACCTGACACAAGCCTTATTAGATTATTTTTAGCCCAATGGCCACAAACAAAAGCCAACAAATTCAGGGCTCTTTAATACTTGGGCCATAAATCCAAGGGCTGGGCCAGGACAATGGAACGACTGCGCTGCATCAAGCCTGGCTGCTCAGACTGCTAATAAAGCCAGAGTGCAAACACACAAGTCATTGCAGCAAAATGCCATGTTCTCTTTCAAAGCATATTAAGAGAAAGTTCCTTGTTTAACTCAACTTCACCACCAGGAAAAAAAATCGTGGTACGAGTTGCTGGAAAGGTAAAATAATTTCAGGTATCAATTGCAGTCATTCAGACTGCAGAAATTATTAAAGATGTATATATAATG